CTCATCTCGAGGTCAAAAGAACCAAAATGGGGGGATGCCACCGTCCCATACGGGCAAATCCAACAATGCTGACCCCGTCGTCCCACTGCCGACGCCCTGGTATCTCAAGGGCAACCTGGAGAATGGCGAAACCAGGCCCCGAGACCTCAAAAAAAAAAAACCCACCGAGAGTTGGAAGAAATAACGTTCAGCCCCGTTTCAAATCCCACCATCGCAACAGAGGGGTTGCGTTTCCACCAAAAAGCAGCTGGATTTACACAACATGCACACAAGAAAGTGGGGAGGGGAAACCCACTTTGTATTTATTCATCGTGGCTTTTTTCTCTAAGGCAGGGATCTCCAAACTTGCCCAATTTAAGAGCTGTGGACTTTTCAACAGATTAAGAGTTCTGGACTTCAATTCCCAGAGTTAAGACTTGTGGACTTCAACTGTCAGAATAAAGACCTGTAGGCTTCAATTCCCAGGGAATTAAGACTTGTGAACTTCAACTTCCAAAATTAAGAACTGTGGACTTCAATTCGCAGGGAATTAAGACTTGTGGACTCCCAAGAATTAAAACTTGCGGCTTCAACCCTTAGAATCAAGACCTGTAAACTCCCAGAAATCTGCAGTTTTGGAGACCCCCCTGCTGTATAAAGAATTCAGGACCAATTTTTTTTAAAAAGCGGAGTCCATCTATTTTATTCCAAGGATCACCCGATAGGATCCCGTCGAGTCGTTTCATGTGCTTTAGCACTCAGCCTGTTGGCCGTTACCTGCCTTTACGTCTTCTCCAAAGGGGGAAAAAAAACAAAACACACACAGTGAAAACTTAACAGCCAATGACTTCTCCCAGGCCCAGGGTGCATCCCAGGGACTAGGGCCTTGAGGCGGCTTTGAAATTTGCAGCTTTGACCACAGCTTCTTGGTTTACTCTCAGATGCGGCCCCACCCCAGAAATATCCCTACCCCTGAGACGTTTTAGGGTGCCAGGTGTTGCAAAGGGCCAGGATATATCCCCACACACGCATGCAAACGACGCAACGGTTCCACGGCTGGCCTCAATCTCCCTCAAACCAGTTCCCAGCTCGGCATCCGGGTCATGATTTAAGCTGCAAATATTTACCTCTGTTTTTATGATAATTGTTTAATCGCACTTGTTGTTCAGTGGAAGGGAAAAGAAAAAAAAACCCAGGGCAGGCTACAAAGTTGGCCGGTGCCCCAAAATGGAGGCCACAAAAAATCCTCGTCTTACGACTACAAATCCAGCCCCCCAAATTTCCGCGGTTGAAGTGACTCCCTTTGCTTACGTGAGTTTTGCCTCGTTTTATGACCTTTCTCGCCTCGGTCGCTAAGTGAACCCTGGCAGTTGTGAAGCCAAAGCCGCACAGGAGTTCAGCAAATCCAGCTCCCCCCCCCCCACTGACCCCGCTGGGCCGAACGTCGCGAAAGGGGATCTCGCATGATGCCCCCCCCCCCGGCCCCCACCCCAAGGACGCCGCGACCGTCGTAAATGTGAGTCAGTTGCCGAGCAGTCGAACGTTAAGTCACATGACCATTGGGACACTGCCAACGGTCGTTAAGTGTGAACAACGGTCCCGCGTCCCTTTTTTTCCAGGGCCGTTGCAACTTTGAACGGACAGACACTAAACGAACTCAATTACTTAAGTCAATTACTATCTGTAGGTCAAAAAACCCACTTTAGTGACCAGCAGCGACTTATACTCCTTGCCCAAAGAGGTCTTCACCACTTCTACTTCTCCATCCTGTTTAAAGCAATAAATTGCCATTTTCTTTTTCTTCTTCTTCTTCCCCTTTCCCTAAATGCCTTATTTCAGCCTTGCAAGAGAGGAAAATCACAGGAGGTCCCTATTGAGAGTCTAAAAGCATCCGTTTAAAAAGCAAGGGAAAACCCAGGCTAAGCCTGGTCTAACTATTTTGTTTTTTTCTCTCTGACCCTCTTGAAAACGGGGCAGGGCTGTTGTGTAAAAGCAAAACGTGGTGGTTGTCATGTTGTTAACTTCTACTGTGCTAAAGAGACGAAGTGCCATTTTCTTTCCTTTTCTCCCTTGGCGCTATATTTCTTTTCTTTTCCCTCCCTCCCTTAGTTTTCCACTACCTCTTTATTTTCCTTTGTATTTTGTACTTTCAAAAATCAATAAAAATAACATATCTATCTATCTGTTTTTGAGTGTGTGTGTGTGTGTGTGTGTGTGTGTAGAGAGAGAGACAGAGAGAGACACAGAGGGACAGACAGACACACACACACACAAACACACACAGAGAACTTTCAGTTCTCAGTTCAGTCTTGAGGGGGGAAAAAGGGGTGGTGGGGGAGAAATAAATGAAAAAAAATTAAAATTAAATAATTTATAAATAAATTAAACCCACGCATTTTACAAAATTTGGTTGGCTTTTAAAGCAAGAGGCTGGGTCATTTCAAGCCTTATTGTCCGTGATTGTGCGAGGAATGATAACTCTCTAAAAGTGGGTTTATTGTTTACCCAGAATAAAAGGTTTAGCCAGAAAAAGTTGGATTACAAGCCTTTAAACGGGGAATGGAGGAGATAAGTTGGATCAACATTTGAATTGTGGCAGTAAACCTGCAAACTAGCATTTATTCCTCAGCCTGGCTGCATCCTTGTTTTGTGCTCCCTTAATATATTCTCTTTCTCTCATCTATCTATCTATCATTTGTCTATCTATCTATCTATCTATCTATCTATCTATCTATCTATCTATCTATCTATCTATCTATCTATCTATCTATTATCCACCTACCTACCTACCTGTCTATCTATCTAGTCTACCTATTTCCTTACCAATTTACCTCCAAAAGGTGTGAGTTGCTCCAACACTGGAAGAGATTGGACAGCCATTTATTTGTCTGAAATGGGGTAGGATTTTCTGCCTAAACGGGGTTGGACTGGAACACCTCCAGGTCCCTGTTCTTATTCTTGTTCTTATTCTAACCTACCTACCTACCTGTATCTCTCTCTCTCTCTTTCTTTCTCCCTCTCTTTCTCTCTCTTTCTTGGTTTCTCTTTCTTTTGCTCTCTCTCCCTCCCTCCCTCTCTCTCTCTCTCTCTCTCTCACACACACACAGACACACATTCTCTCTTCACAACAATTCTGCTAGGTAGGCCACTCCAGAGGTGCCCAACCCCCCCAGCCTCGCCAATCCCTACAAACCCCAAGCCAAGCTGCTTGCTCCCTCTGCCAGCCAGGCCGACCGACCCGGGGGTGGTTTTATTCATTTGTTTTATTTGTAAAATATATCCGCCACCCCCTCCCACCCCCGCCCCCCTTACCTCGAGGTAACCCCGGGAGGCTTACCGCGCTCAAAGAGACAAAGGGCGTCAACTTAAACCCACCAAAGCTCCCTTTTTGCCACCCGGTCATCCCCTCCAGCGCCATCCTCCCGCGTCGTGGGGATGCAGGCGAGCCCCCATCATCCCCCGCAATTCCGCGCCCGTTCGGCTCTCCCCGCTCGGGGGGACCCCCCGGTCCCCAACCTTGAATTGCACCGCCCCCGACGGTTTCCCAGCTTACCGAGGACGCTGGGGCAGCCGGTCCTCTGAGCATGCACAGACCGCCGGTAACAGCTGGTCC